GCAAGACTCTTTTTGCTGTTTAACAATAACATTAACTGTAAGAGGAGATAATACAGATGAAGTAATAAAAACTAATAAATCCTTTATTTACTTTACTAAAAGGCTTGGTCATAGATTTTGCTTTAAAAATTAATATACTATAAATTACATATTGCCTACTGCTATATCCATCCAATAAATATACAAAGGCTTCACACACGGTAGGCAAGTACTCTACCACTGAGGTATACCTCTAGCCCTATGGTATTCCTCTTTTTGTAGGGGTGGGTACTAGGGATTGATCTCAGGGGCACTGGACCATTGAGCCACATCCCCAGCCCTATTTTGTATTTTATTTAGAGACAGGGTCTCACTGAATTGCTTAGTGTTTCATTTTTGCTGAGGCTGGCTTTGAACTTAAATTCTCCTGCTTCAGCCTTCCGAACTGCAGGGAGTGTGGCAAAGCCACAGGTGTGTGGCAAAGGATGATTATTTTTAGCTCTAATATATTCAATGTAGTAAAAGGAAATTTTATTTCTTTTCAAGGTAGGTCAAGGTGATATGAAGGTATTTATTTAGGAAGATAGTTGAATTAACAGTATTTCAAATAGGGGACAAAAATGTTTTGTTTCTTGGTTCAAATGTAAGGTCCCTGTTATATTCTGCCAACACTTAAGCATACTTAATACACTTTTATATTCACCTTAAATTGTGTTTGCATATAATTTTTTTAGAAAACTGATTTAAAATTTGCTTTTTCCTCAACAGATTTTTAAGGAAAGTATTAGTTATGCTTCATGTCCAATTATTTTGTAATGAATAAATTATTGAAAATTTATTTTAAAAATTGTTGATAATTTATTTTGATATATATATATATCAAAATAAATTATTATATATATATATATAATTTTTTTTTTTTTGTGGTGCTAGGGATCAAACCCAGAGCCTTATACATGGCAAGGCAAGCACTCTACCAACTGAGCTATATCCCCAGCTCAAGTACACAATAGCTAAATTGTGGAACCAACCTAGATGCCCTTCAATAGATGAATGCATAAAAAAAAGGCATATATACACAATGGAAAATTACTCAGCAATAAAAGAGAACAAAAACCATGGCATTTGCAGGTAAATGGATGGAGTTAGAGAATATCATGCTAAGCAAAATAAGCCAATCCCAAAAAACCAAATGCCAAATGTTTTCTCTGATATAAGGAGGCTGATTCATAGTGGGATAGGGAGAGGGAACATGGGAGGAATAGACGGACTCTAGATAGGGCAGAGGGGTTGGAGGGGAAGGGAGTGGACATGGGGTTATTAATGATGGTGGAATGTGATGATCATTACTATTCAAAATACAGGTATGAAGACACGAATTGGTGTGAAAATACTATATATACAACCAGAGATATGAAAAATTATGCTCTATATGTGTAATAAGAGTGGTAATGCATTCTGCTATCATATATAAATCAAAATAAATAAATAAAAAATTTGTTGATGAAAGAAAGGCAGGAATGCAAGCAGAGTCAAGGAATTTGCCTCAGTCACTTTGCTTTTTGTAGGAGATATACACTACTATACAACCTATACATCCTTTATTATAAGATTGGCAGCCCTAAAAAATCCTTCTTTAAAAAAATATTTATTTTTAGTTGTAGTTGGACACAATGCCTTTATTTATTTATTTTTATGTGGTGCTGAGGATCAAACCCAGGGCCTTACATTTGCTAGGCGAGCACTCTACTGCTGACCCACAACCCCAGCCCAAGAATTCCTTTTTTAACATAGCATGTGATAGATGTATTCCTGTCCCTGAAGGAATGAGGGGCAGATATTTCTATAAGCAGCTCAATCACTATTTAATCATATTTACCCTTTCCTGGATGCATGCAATGATTGAGTGTTGCATGTTTCCTTAAGTTTCAAGAATAAATAATGGGAAAATATTTATTTATAAGAACAAGTAACAACAGTTTTTCTGGATGTGTCCTTTGAAGTCAATCTCCTTAAATGATAGGTTTTTTATAATATAAAGTTCTATTTCTGTTATAAAAGCTTATGAGGCAGACTGTAAATTCCTTAAAACTTAGGCTATCATTTTTCATGGCAGTGCTCTTTCTCAAATACTCCACACTCTGGGATATCAGAGTCATTGTTAAATGGATTATTAAAATGACAGACGAGGTCCTTACACATGACTAAGTAGTCCTGAGTATAAATTAGGTGCTTTGGGATATGTATGTGCTCTTTTATATCTCTAGAGTGATATTACTACATTGAAGTACAATAGTTTACTAACTTGTCAAATCTAAGCTGGTAATTAAAAACTGATGAAATTTGTCACCACGATAGAACATTTTTAATAATTGCCTTCAGAATGCCACTTTTCTAATTTGGAGCTTATCAATTTACATAAAACTTTGTATTTACAATTCCATTAATATACTTGGGAGAAAATGTTTCACTTAAATTTAAGAAACACCAAAGGCAAGAAAATTCATATGGAAAATATCTTTGCCTCTCTCAACATTTGCAAATAAAAAACTCTTTACTGAAAACTTTTCAAACACTTTTCACCTTAATATCCTAAATTTTTAGGAATCAATGAATATTTTTGAGTGATATTATATATAAAATATATTGCTGCATGAATCTAAATCCACAATTCTAATTGACACAATTTCTTTATTCTTGCTTTCATGAATCTTACTGGTTGAAGAGAACATGGTCAAAAAATACCTTCTTTAGAAATGGGACCTTTGAGTTTCTCAAGGTTATTAAGAATATTAAAAAAGTAACTTTGGGTAAATAAGATGTTTTCATAAAATATCACATATCTTGCAGGAACCAAACCAGGCATACTCAAACAGGTAAAATCCGCTTTTATCTCAATACTTTCTCACTTTGAAAGGAGTTATGTAGTCTACATTTCAAACACGGAAGTTGGTGTTTCTTGTTATCAGATTACAAATACAATGCCTATATTATCAAAGAGTTCATTTTCTCCAAACATCAAATTTGTCTTTTAAAGAAATACTCATATAGTATTAAGTTGATTTTTATGTCAGACTTAGGAAACTAATTAAAGCTTCCTGAGAGGGGCCAAGAGAGGCATACAAAGCCTACAGCTTATTCTTGTCTTATTTTTGTACCACCTGTTTATAAGAAAAGGAATCAATAACCTTCCTACATTCATATATAAATACATGATTATTAGAACTCCACAGCATGTACAATCACAAAAATGGAAAGTCATACTCCATGCACATTTGATATGTCAAAATACATTCTACTGTCATATATAACTAAAAAGAACAAATAAAAAAAGAGATCCTTGGCTGATATAAAAGAAAGTAAGATTTTGAAACAATTTCCTTCCTTCTTTTCCTTTTCTTTTTACTCATTTAAGGTGGCTTGGAAATGGCTCCATGAATTCTCTAAAAGGATTAGCAATAACATTTTATGGTAAGTAAAAAAAAAATAAATACTACTCTTTTCTGAAATGACTACTGCAGAGGGTAGGTGACTACTGAATTTTTATGTAAATGTTAAATTTTTTTTTATCATGTCCAGACCTTTTGTAACTGTAGAATATTTATCACTACCAACTATATGATTCCTCAAATTTGAGCTATACCATACCAACCAAATATTCCACTTTGTCTAGAAAGTTATTTATTTATTTACTTACATTTTTTTTAACTTCAGTTTATTTATTTATTTATTTATTTTATGTGGTGCTGAGAATCAAACCTTTACCAATGAGCCACAACACCAGCCTGGGTAATTTATTTTAACTTACTGCCTCTAAACTGTCCTTTTTTTTTTTTTTTTTTTTTTTTTAAAAAAAAAACTTTAAATAAGAAACAGAAAAAAATATGCTTAAAGAATTTTTGCATCATAAAATATCCTGTGAATTTTCATATTATTTATAGAATTAGCTTTTATCTTTAGGCTTTCAATTTAAAATTCAAATTTATCTTGATGCAGTAAATCTCATCCAAAGAATGTAAACAGATGTTTAACAATAACATGTTATATTTCAAGGAACTTTTATTGTACTGAGACCTACTAAAAGGAAACCTAAACTTACAAATGACAGAAAATAGGTAGATTCAGTCACCAAATATTCTCCAACTTATCTCCAATTTAAAGTAGAAGTGATTTGAAATTGGATATGGTCTATGCATTCATATTACCTTGATCCTGACTGGAAGACAAGTTCCTCAGAATCCAGCTAACAGGTTAGGAACAATTGTTCCTATATGCAGAAATGTGCCAGAGGTTAATAACGCTACACAGTTACAACATGAGTTTTCTATAATGACACTGGATTTGGGATGTCTACTTTTCTGTGCTATGCAGCTGCAGGGAATATTATTTTGTTTTTTGATTAGGAAGAAAATACTGTTAGAATACTTTTTTTTCTTTTAATGTAGAAGAAACAGCTGCCTTCATGGAAATGGAATTGGGGATACTCCAATTCAAGCCTACAGTGCAATGTATTTTGGAATGGAGCACTTGAATTCTTAGCTGCCATCCCAGATTATTGCTTCTGCATCTATCCATCTCTTTCAAAGAATGCTTTCCTTTTTTCTAGTGGGTAGGAAATATTAGAACTTGGGATAAGCAATATATCTTTTTGTAACCAAAACTAACCTTAGTGACTTGTTTCTATGAAAGTAGTAATACACGATGATAGAAAAATGGGACTCATTTTACAAAAATGTATTTACAAGCAACTTTTTAGGAACATAGCTCTTCTAAGGCACGAACATTTGTATTTACAACACAGATCTGAAACACCTACATGTTTCTCTACATAACAGAACATGTTTCTCTTGGCTGATGCAATGTTTTATCTTCATATTTGAGCAGGAATTTATAAATAGGTCATTCTTGGTATTTTGGCCAAAAGGACGTTTAGGTATGAGTTTTGTTTTAGGAAAAACAGTGAAGTGTAACAGCATAAAATATGCTAGTCTTTTCACTTTTTTACATGCACACAAAGTTACCATCTAAAGTCTTCTTTAATTCAGCTTTCAGTTTTTCCTGGTCTTCTACTAGTTTTTTATTTTCTGTTTCCAAAGTATGTTCTTCATCTGTGGTTTTCAAAATCTATCACAAAAGAGAGGTACAGGAAGAAGTAAGCTTAGATTAAGATAGCTAGATAGGTTATAGCTAGATAGCTTATAGCTAGCTAGATAGCTTAATTAAAGCTCTACTGAATATATTATATAATCTTAAAATCATGTTTGGGAAATAAGGATTAAAATATATTCTGGAACTAAAGGAGACTCAAAATTTTGAAATTAAAAAATAATTTTTAAAAAATCAAGAAAAAAAATTTATAGGAAGGGAAACAAGTAATCTATCTAAAGCTATTGGTTTTTATTTTATTCTTTGTCCTTTTAGATATTTTATAATTTTCTATAAGGTTACCATTTTCTTTCTTTTATAACTTTCCTTTGCTAACAGAAACTTGATAATTGACAAACACAAAAAATATTTCTTTGTATTATAGCTAAAATATCTGAAATGAAAATAAGAATTTCTTGATAAGGTACAATTAGAATTATGTTTTAAAAATTATTCAGGCAAATAACATGAATCTCTCTTCCTCAATTAAGTGCATGGCATAAATCTAAGGAAATAAGAGGTTGATAGTAATTAGAAAACCATTGTGTTCTGGTTGTAAAGCTGTCCACTCAAGACTATTTTTTTATACAGACAAATCTGTAAGAATATAAAGTTGTCAGGGTGGAGATGGATAAGTGGAAAATGACAGGGCCATATCTATGGCTGGAAAATTCTATCTAATTTTCATTGAGCAGTCCCCAAATTATTTTTACTCAGCAATTAATTCTTTACAATGTTATTTATATTTTGAAATCTATTCTGGCTTTTAGAAAAATTGTAGCTTATCTTTTCTAGGCAGGAAAAATTAAGATCTCAACAGTGAAACAACTGATTAAAATAAAAACATCATGAAGTAAAAAATTCCATAATTTGTATGGATATAAACTATCACTGTTACTAGAGCTAGGAAGCTGACTTAAAGAAATATTAAGGAATTTAAGTTACTAATATAAATAAATGAATATTTAAAAACTAAAATATGTAACCTCTAGCATGGGTTAGTGGAATAAATAAAGTGGCAACAACTTAATACTGACAGCTTCCACAGTCTGGTAAAAGAGCAACTCACAAGAATTTCACACAGACTGAGGTAAGAATTTCAAGGGCAGGGTGATTCATTTTTTAATGTAAGTTGATATGGTCAACATACAAAACTTACAAATTTCCACTGAGAAATGACTATAGGCAAATATTTTATAATCCAAGGTGCTGTAAGAGAAACATGATTCCTACTCTTAGGTAACTTTAGTAGAAATGAAAAGATGAGCATAAAAACTGTTGCACAAGACAAATACAGTACTAATGCACTATAACAAAAATTAGGCAGGTCAGAGAAGGAATTAAAGCTCTACTGAATATATCATATAATCTTAAAATCATTTTTGGGAAATAAGGATTAAAATATATTCTGGAACTAAAGGAGACTCAAAATTTTGAAATTAAAAAATAATAATTTAAAAATCAAGACAAGAAAAAAAAATTTCTCCAAACCTTTTAATTTGTTGCTTAGTTCAAGTTCAAAACAATTATAGCTGTTACTTCATTGAATTCAGTTCATAAAATCTCTAGTGATTACTCAAATTGGAAAAGAATCACTGAGTTGCAGGAATGTTTATAGTGACTACTTGAATTATTATGGCAATGATTTGGAAAAGTTGGATTTGTGTTAGTCTTGTAAATAAGCTTTCATTACTGCACCTGTAAAATCATCCAAATTTATTATGTGTAACTTCACCTTGGAGACAGACCAGGGATCCTAGAATCTGAAATTCAATAGCTTCCAGCTACATGAACATGAGTATTCTCTGTCCCACTCACCTCATCCCACCTTGGTAAGTGACTGGAACAAAAAGTCCGTGCAAGGTAAAACTCCATACTGGTTTTTTTTTTTTTTTAAATTTTAAAGCACTTAAATTAAAAGTGAGTTTTTTTTTCTTAGTTTTAGTTTTATTTTTGTAATTATTTCCTTAGTAACTGAGAGGCAGAACAGAAAAGGCACAAACTTCATTTTTTTAAAACAATGTTTTTTTTAGTTGTTGATGAATCTTTATTTTATTCCTTTATTTATATGTGGAGCTGAGAATTGAATCCAGTGCCTCACACATGCAAGGCAAGCACTCTGAGCACAACCTCAGGCCACTACAAGTCATTTTAATAACAGGATAGGAATTGAGGGCAGAAAACAAAGTGGTTTTAAATGTGGATTCTAGTGTCAGGCTGCTTAGTTTCCAATTTTCTGAGTAACAGAAAACTTGATTTTGTGCAAGTTACTTAGCCTTTCTTGGCCTGTTTCTTCACTTATAAAATGCAGATAATAAAATATAAAACTCACAGGATTGTTGTGAGAATTAAGAGAGTTAATACCTTACTGTCTAGCATTTGAAGCAATACTTGACATGTTGTTAACTATTATTTACAGATAAGGAAACTTTAAGACCAGAACACACAGGTAACATCCCAGGTCACATTGCTAATTACTTAATTAATTGCTAATTACTTAATTGCAGGGACTGGTACTCAAGTCTCTTAGATCTCAAGATAATGAGCTTTCTACTACATAATATGCCTCTGATTGAGAACATAGAGAAAATTTTATTTTTCCTTAGCTAATATTTCAAAATCCACAAGTACCTGAAATCAAAGCCATCCTTTATATTTTCACCTATGGCTTTTATTTCATTGGTCAATTAGTTACATTCTGAGCACTGAGAGTATTTTGGTCTAGTTCACAGACTTTTGTGCCATTGTATACTAGCCTTAGTCCTGCATTATCTGTGCTTCATCTGATGATCCAGCACCACTGAATAGGTCTATGCAGGAAGCAGGGAACCAGGACAGCATGGAACCAAAGGAAAGGAAAATAAAAAAAGAAGAAACTGTGGGAGGTCAAGGAATCAGTGACCATAAAATAGATTTCCTTCCTTTGGGTAACAGACTTGAAAACAATTTCCAAAAGCAAAGCTCCAAAAATATTTTGAGGAAAGTGATTTTTTTTTTTTTTTAAAGAATAAGGGAAATTCAAGTGCACTAATTATGGTGTACATGGGAAAAGTAACAGTTTCAAAACTTTAAATACTTTACATTTTTGTAGAGTTGAGGAGTAAAGAGAAAGACAACTGAAGATGAAAAAGTAAGTGTCCTTACAGTAGTTATAATTCATTACTCTGATATGATGTATATAATTTACAATCAATATGAGCATCCAAGAAATCTTTTCATAAAAATGAGGCTATGTATTTTTGAATTTAGCCATCATATGTTAATCAAAGCTTAGAGGACTGTGATTTTTTTTTTTTTATTATTGGGAAATGAGATCAAAGGATAAAAAAATGATGCAAGTAACATTAAAGCACAAAATAAAGTGCTTGACTATGCTGCTGATACATTCCAAAAAAGAAAATGACATATTGCTTGCTTCTGAATACAGAAAATACCAAAGCAAATTTACAAGACTTTGAAAGATCAATGACTTTTTGAAATAGAGCAAATCAAAATATAAACTGGTTCTTGTACTCCAAAAGTTTCCTTAAAACATGCTAACAATCTACTCAAAAGAAACACTTTTGAATTCTGTTTCTATGAACAGAGATCTTTCTTTACCTTTTTTGTTACAGTATAAATGATGCAGATATAAAAAATAAAATATGGGCTTTGAAGAGGTGACCATAATAATGGAGAATCTTTACAATTTTTTGCAATTAGTTGTTGCCTCATTTAATAGGTTTTAGAAAGCTTTATACTGTATCAAGTATAGCTAACTTATTTAGATTTGATGAAAGGGGGTGCTAATTATCCTTTCTGTAAGAGACTGAACATTAGGATTTAGATAAGGACTTTAATTTTCTACTGCTTGACTCAAAATACTTTTTACCTAACTATAACTTGGTGTAATGATAATGACTGTTTGCATTTCTTTAATTCACAAGAGAAAAATAATTTTGGGATGGGGATGTGGATCAGTGGTAGAGCGCTTGCCTAACGTGTAAGGCACTGGGTTCGATCCCTGGCACCACAAAAATAAATAAATAAATAAAACAAATAAAGTAAAGGTATTCATCTACAATTTAAAAAATATTAAAAAAATAATATTATTACATTATTTTAGGAATGTTTTCTTCAAGAAAATGTGTTTCTCTTCTCTTTTTTTCTAAGGAGAATGAGTGAAACTAGTGGGACTTAATATGAACTGACAACACTGAAGCATTGAAACCTGACTCCTAAATTTTAAATTTCTTTAGAGAAAAAGATATCCAAAGTAATTTTGTATCTTTCATTTTTCCATTTGTTCTTTTTGGTCAGTGGAAAAAACACCAGTACCTATTCCACGCTGAATGTAAGGGGAAGGATAATATAGGATTCTCAAAGTAGGAATATCAGTAGTATCACCAAAATAAAGATTTAAACTATTATGCACAATCATCAATCTACAATCAATGACCTCTCTCTGCTTTTTATACAACCAATCATACTTTAACTGAAAAAGAAAAGGAAACAGAATCACAAAGATTTAGTTTGGGTAATGAAGTAAGATTAATGGTAATGAAGAAATTAAAATTCATAATCTCAGAATGTTTTCTCTTTGAATCATAAGAAATAGGTCCAAAGATATTAATTTACTATGGATGAGAACATGAGAACAAGTAAACTAAGAGAATAGTAAAGGTACTTTAGATACAATCATTCCACAGAACATTATTGTTCAACAACAATATCAACAATATTCATATGAACTGTTACAAAAAAGATTAAATACCCTTTTTAGTTTTTCATTCTCTTCCATGAATCTTTTGGCAGCCTTATTAGTATTTTCTGCTTGACTTTTAAGCACTCCTTTGTTTGATAGTTCTTTTGCCAGCTGAGTTATAAGTGTGACCAGACGTCTCAACACTCTAAGGAAAAAAAATCATAATAATGCATCACTAGATCTATCAGTAACTGTGACTTTAAATCAAAGAGCCATTATTAAATGATTCTCTATAAGGTACACAGGTGTGGGTGGTGGAGAAAGTGATGTTTAAATGGAATGAATATATATATATATTTACATGCATATGTATATTTATTTATATATATATATATATATATTTTAATATGTATGTATATAAGTACATATATATTTAATCCAAGTCTCTTAGTTAAAACAAGCCTGTGTATTATTCCTTTGAAATTTCTGTTAGAAGACTAGCATTTAGAAAAGTTTCAGTGGTACTTTTTTCTCTTATTTTGTTTTGCAGTGCTGGAGACAGAACCCAGGGCCTTGTGCATACAGTGATACTTTTCAAATTATTTTTCTAGTACAGCTCTTTAGCATGAATATAAGACAGTAAGGCCAGAATGAAAACCCTTTTTTTTCTGACCAGTTCATAAAATGGTATTTAAAAGCATTGTATACATTTGACAGAGCCTAAAAACTGCTCATTCACATCTGTTCATGGTAACTTCCATTGTTAGAAATTTTAATTGATCTCTTCAATTATTCATTCAGTGATATTTACTGAGGAACTGCTAAGTATTAAACACTATGCTAGGCACTGAGGACACAGCAGAAAATGAATTAAGTCCCTGCCTTCAAAGAGTTTAGGTTCTAGTTGGAGGACCAAAATAGTATTTAAATACAATTGTAAATGATTCTAGGAACAAAAGTATATACATGTAAGAAAGAATATAATAGAAGACCTACCTACTTTTTGGGGGACTGATGGCCACAGGGGGCTTCTCTGAGAAAGTCTAAAGAATGAGCAAGGGAAAGGAAAACAGGGAAAGGAAAGGGTATTCTGGTAGAAGAAATAGCTTGTGTGAAGACCCTAACATGGAAAGGAGCTGGCTACACCACAACTCATTTGTTCTAAGAATGAGTGAATAGTGAAGGTGAGTGTGGCTGGAATGTATGGTAAGTATTAGAGAAGAGTAGAAAGAAAGGCTAGACAGAGAGAGACAGGGGCCAGATCAAGCAAGGTCCTATGGAATTAGCAAACCTATAAACAGTAACAATTACTTGCCATTTGGTTATTTCACCTGAGTTCCTTTATGAAGATGTTAGTAAAAAACAGTCTTCACATATGTGGAAAAAGTGAGAGAGAGAAAGAAACCTAAACAATGTGTTAAAATTGTGATTCAACTTTTTTTTGTTTTTTTTTTTTACTTACAGCCAAAAAAATAATGAAAATCCAGAAATGTAAAGATTTCTTTGAGACCTAAAAAGTTTCATCTGTGTATGTTCATAGGCACCAAGTTTGCTAGTTGAGCTCTTGTCAATTGTATGAATAGAGGCATATTTCCTTACTTCTCTCACAGCATCTATTATAGTAAAAGAGAAAATACTTTGTTTTTAAGAATATAAAATCATTAAAGAGAAACAGTTTTAGAGTAACTGATCAAACTTTTTAATAATTGACTTTATGTAGGGGGCTCTCTTTCCTTTTTTAGCACCTGGAGGGTAAGCAAGTAGTGATTGTGATAGATTAGACATTATAGAAATGTCTGTTTAGTTCCTTCATTCATTTTTGAATTGGGTTATCTGGCTTTTCATTTGTCCCCAAGATGTCTTTTGTAGATTTTTTTTTTTCAAGCCGAGAATTACATAATGGACATTCGTCAAATGATTACATCTCTGTAGTTTTGGGATATATAATACTTAAATTGGGTATATTTCTGATTGGATCAGTTCAATAATTTTGGTAGGTTACTATAGCATTAAAAAGAAAATCCAGCATGGACTGTCATTGGTCATTGTATTGTCTTTCTAGCTATACTACAAACTTTTACCTTTTACTCTATCCTTAAGAATGACGAAAATTTCACCTATCGACAGTAATTTAATGCAATATCCCATTACCATCAACTCCAAGAGATGATCCTATTTTTCTTATAGTATTAGCATTTTTAGTAGCTACTATTACTTTAAATAACTACAATTTTAGAAATATTTAACAGGTTTGTTAAAATGGGATTTGATCTATGGTGGCATATACTATATACCTATATAGTGGCATATACTTCCCTGACTAACAATTGGATTACACCTATTACTGGAAATTTTCAAATAGCTGTTTCTTTAATGTTTTCAGTTCTGACAGGTCTCAGTTCTAGGGGAACTATTTCTTACTAGTGCAAAATAGATACCAGCACATATGTTTAGTGCATTTTAAAATTAGAATTTCATAGTTATTTAGTTATTCTTAATCACTGGATTCTTTCATGTTCTAGAGAAGGCAACCATCTTAAAAATTTTAAAGCCAAAAGAGGTACAACAAGTTTGAATGCTCCCTTCATGTAACCATTAGCATTCCTGGGGAAGTTTTTGCCACATGAGAAAAGAGATTCCAGTTCGAAAATTGAGGCCATTTTGACAATCATTTGAATTTATTTTTTTATAACACTTTGAGACAAAATTCACAGTCTGTTTGTACTCAGTTACTTCTAAAAAACATGGTGATTATGAAGACTTACAGAATTTGTTTTGATTAAAAACTTTAAAGCCCTTTTAATTTCTAAAATAAAAATTTCAAACATGCTGAAAACTATCACCAGTTAGAGTGTCCTTAATATGAAATGCTTATATTCAGAAGTATTTGGGATTTACTCATTTTAAATATTTGCATGTATATGTTAAGATATTTTAAAGTCACATGAGATTCATTTAATTTTTATACAAACCTTATGCACATAGCCTGAAGCTAATTAAATACAATTTGCTTAGGTTTTAAAATTATTTGTAATAGGCACATTATAATGATACATACTAGTGGGATTTGTTATATCTCTCTCTATATATGCATTTAATTTGATCAATCTCAGTCCTCACCACCTTCCCTTTTCTCTCCTCCCTCAATTTGCTTGCTGTACTGATCTCCCTTCTATTATTATAATGTATTATAATCATATATATAAGTGGGCTCATTGTGGTATATTCGTATATGAATATAGCATAATTTGACAAATTTGTTCCCCCCATCTGTCTCCCTCCCTCTCAATCCCCTTCTTATACTCTAATGGTGTTCTTCCTATTTTTGGTTTTCATTTGTGTGTGTGTGTGTGTGTTTGTGTTTTGACTCCAACACATGAGGTCAGGTGTGGAACTTTCCACTGTGGTGTAATGTTGGTCTTCAAAGTTCCAGATTTTGGAATATTTTGGATTTAAAATTTTCAAATTAAAGGATGCTCAATCTTTCCAAAAAACATTTATAATCCCATTACATCGATTCAACAATTATTAACAATCTGCCATATCTGTCTTTTAAAAAGTATTTGAAAGTGAAGTTGCAATAATCATGACACTTTACTCCTAAATACTTCAGCATGCATTTCCTCAAATTAAAAACCCATTCCTCCTACATAAATTAGTAATTTTTAAAAATAGAGTTTTGTTTAGATCTTATCGATATAACTATCCAGCTCTGCAGTTATCTGTGGAAATAGGCATACATAATATGAGAACAAATAGGGATGGAAATGTTTCAATAAAACTTTAGTAACAAAAATTGGCTTCGGGTCCATAAGCTGTAAATTGAAATACAAAAACGTTGCTATCATAAAACAAAAACAAAAACAAAAACAAACAAACAAAAAACAAAAACAAAAACAAAACCCCTAACATCTAACAATTACTCTAAGTTCAAATTTTGGCAGTAGTCTCTAAATCTGTGGTGATATCATTTTTTTTTTTTTTAACCAGGATTTAATCAAGATGCACAGTCCACATCTAAGATTCCTTTTGAGAGTTTAAAGATTCTATTTCTTTGTTCCCTAGCAGCTGAGCCCTTAGATGCTTAGGATACCACTTTAACAGAGGAGTGTATAACTGGATGCCATGAGAAACAGTATCTGATAACTCTGAAAAGTGGGATATGCATTATTGCATTTTAACCTTCAAATAAAGAGGTTAATAAGAATCCCTGTACTTCCCTGAAATTAATGCCTCTGTATACAGAATATCAAATGTATATCAAAATTTCAATATCTGCTGATCTCTTCTTCTTGATTTTTAGAAATCCACCCCACCTTTTTCTTTTATCTTCTCTAGCGTCCAAATATGAGAAAAATATATGACCCTTGACCTTCTGGGTTTGACTTATTTAGCTTAACAAGTTCCATCCTGCAAATGGCATAATTTCATTTTTCTTTATGGTTGAATAAAATTCCATTGTGTATATATGCCACATTTTCTTTCTTTAGTTATAGATTGACACAATACCTTTATCTTTATTTATTTAATGTGGTGCTGAGGATTGACCTGGTGCCTCGCAAATGCCAGGCAAGTGCTCTACCACTGACCACCAGCCCATATCACATTTTCTTTAACCACTCATTTGTTGACAGACACCTAGGCTAATTTGGCTATTGTGAATTGTGCTGCTATAAACTTGAGTATCAAAGAGAGATCCATAGAAGAAAGGGAACAATGGGTGGGAGGAAGTGCTGAGGAGTGACACTGGCCAAATTATAACGTTATACTGTATGTACGAATATGTAACAGCAAATCCCATTATTATGTACAACTGTAGTGGACCAATAAAAATTGTGGCAAAAAATCAATATCTATCAATATAATATATAAATTCAACTACATGCCAATATCAACATCAACATAACTAAAAATCAAGAAATTAATTAAAAAACAACACCTAGAGTTATGCTTATTCAAAGGAAGGATCAGTACTAGTACTTACCTAGAAACAGAACAATCAATAGGATTATAATGGTAAGAAAAGCCTTGTTCCAAAAAGTTGCAATTTTACCCCAAACATTAAATGAAAAAATCTTCTGCCATCTGCAAAGCAATATAGGTATATATTAAAAGTATATATATTTTTTAAAAAAGGCAGTTTTGAAATACTTTCTAAAATCAAGGTTCATCAACTGAGTCCAAGGGATACAAATAAAGATAGGAAAAAAGATAGAGAAATTTAATATTTATGAAATAGAGAACTCTCTCAAATTTAATAATAATCTGACATTTGATTATCTTCTGCCTGGCAGCTTAAAAAAAAAAAAAAAGGCTTTGTTTTTTTGGATACAGTAATGCAATGTTGCCCAGGCTGTCCCTAAAATTGAGATCATCTTGCTTCATCCTCCTAAGCAGCTGGGATTATAGGTGTGTACCACCACACCCAATTAAAAAAAAGGAATTCTTAACAGTAAAATGTTGTATTGTTGATCAAAGCTATTTATATCATCTTTCCTAGTCAGAGTGATGACTCAGAAATGACAAGTCTATTGGTCCAAAAATTAGCACCATTTCAGGAGTAAAAAGTTTCTCTGTATATTTATTTTTATATAGTATACTTTTAATATCTACTCCAAATAAAGATGTTTCTCTATTTTAATCATGAGAGAATTAAAATAATTGAGGTACTAAATATATAAAAAAGTGAAAAAAATCTTATATAGCTTGATAAATTTTTACATATGTTTATATCTATGTAATTTACCTACAACCCAGATCAAGATCTGAACACAGAGGAATGAGATGAGGGAAACAGTCTAGGTGGAATAGGCAGTAGAAGTAAACACAAGAGTTAAGAAGGAATGAGCAATAAATGGCAAAGAGTGACAAAATGATCCATCTTATAATTTGAAAGGTAACAAACTTTGTATAAGAGGATTTTAAATTAAAAAACCCATTAACTGAGTCCAAAGGAGACAAATAAAGATAGGAAGCATTAAATACATTTCAAGCAACTTATAAACTTTAAAAAGAATTTTAATTTAAGATTACGACAAATTATTCACTGGTAAAATTTGTAAACAACTATAAATATTAATGACTTGAAGTTGATGGGAAAAGGGACTGATAACAAATGGAACAATTTTTGCCTCTATACTTTCTTTTTATTTAATTTTTTATTTGTTCTAAATTAGTTCTAAGAATATACTTCTATACTTACTTCTATACTTAGAATTAAGTATTTTTATACAGGTGCTATTCAAATTCTATATTACAAAACTTTTATTTTATATTACAAAACTCTTTTAAAACAAGAACATAAGTGGTAATATTTTGATCTATGTCCAAATGTAAATTCACTTAACCTCATTTCAAAGGTCAATACAAGAGGGAATGGAAGTGACTCTCTGTACGGAACAACCAGCAATAGGAAGACTCAATTCAAGAGCATCTAAACCTTGCTATATTATTGGTTCTAAGCAATCCTACACAGTTATCCTACTTAATTAATACAATTACCATATGAGGCATTATCACTTCAGGAGTAAGAGGTCTTATTATATAATATACTTTTATATAATATAATATTATATAATAGACAGTACTATTTCTATTTTATAGAAGGGGAAACTAGCTGGAGAGAGTCAATAACTTGCCCAATGTCACACAGTTAATAAATAATACCAGAGAACTGGGATAATACCCAGGGAGTGATTTTGAGCCTGTGCCTTTTATGACTGGGTTATATGAGAAAAGACCAAAACTTTTTTGTTGAAGATTATGAAGATACACATATAAAAGGTCAAAAGATGTGTATACACAAAGAAAAGGGACATAGTATAAGTTATTTGTGTGTAAATATGCCATATTTCTTATGTGTATTTGTACATGAGAATATTTATATATCATGTGCCCAAACACCCACATCAATGTAACAGCTACTTGATCCTGATGGATATAAAAAATATTTGGAAGAAAGAAAAAGTCTGATCTCAAATTATGAATCACTTTGATGGAGAAAGATCAACTGAAGCAGCACTGTTTTTTTTTTCTTTGCAAATCTTCAAGCCTTACTTGTATATTGGATGTTCCCAAACAAGATCTTTCTCTTGTATATATAAATGAAGCAAATTTTGAATATATGGGAGTCCATTGCTGCAAATACTAACAAAAATCAAAAGAGGCATTATGGAGGGTTTAAAATGAGAGGCAGTATGATGAAGAAGCAGCACTGGACTGAAAGCAAGATTCTTGTTTGGAATTTGCTACTGACCACGTAGGTGATCTTGGTTAGGCCATTTGCCTTTTCTGGGATCTAAGGAATGAGTTGGGTTGGATGAGATAACTGAAGATTCCCTCCCCACTAACAATATGATTTTTCTCTTTAGTAAGGAAAAAAAAAAACCCAACAATAAAAAAACAACAATGATAGGCAAAGACAGAAGTGAGTTGAACCAGGTAGATAATGAGCAAGTAGAGTTGTGAAAGACTACCTAGACCTCGAGCCATGGTAAAACTTTCTAAAGTTTCATCCAGTCCCATTATTTTACTACAGTGTAGTTTAAGAAGATATTTCTAGTATCTCACTTATGAAATATTTTCTTGTAAGTCATGAGTATAAACAAATATCTTGCAACATTTTATTACAAACTGTTTTACTATCCATACAATCAAGTTCCTGGATCTAAAACCAATCCCCTAATGAGTAGATTATTAAAGGTAAAGTGTGTTAATGCTTGGGTTGAAATTTCTGTTCTTAAAGATCTTAAAAGGTCCTTTACTAAAGAAATAATGTTAATACATTGTCTGATAGCTTTCACATTTGGCCCTTTTAATACATTGAGTGGAATAAAAAGTAATAAAATGCCGTCATTTTACATAGTTTACATAATGCCAAAACTAAAGAACTTACAGGCTTTGGTTTCTAAATTGCCATTCCACTGCCTCAATTTAACATTTTTTAAAATACATGCTATATTGTAAAAATAATTTTTTTTAATTTTTTTATTCCACTGCTTCAATTCAGGGCAATAAAACAAAGGTAAAACCTCATGACAAGACAGGGCAAGTATCAAAAGTATGTAATCAACAGAATCAGAAGGACTCGCACTCGGCTTGTTTCCTTTGAGAAGGGAGGAAAAAATTATCATTTGTACACATAATAAAGTTTTATAAATTTTAAATAGATATTGTCATGAAACAGTTCTAATCTGTTAAGTAAGTTTTTAAAAGAATACCCTTTGCACAGCGGGCTCTGAAAACTTTTCAATCTTTTTTTTTTTTTCTTTTTTTTTTTTTATTGGTTGTTCAAAACATTACAGAGCTCAAGACATATCATCTTTCATACATTCGACTCAATTGGGTTTTGAACTCCCCAAATACATAATACAGACTCACTTCTGTTACATACTCACATTTTTACATAATGGCATATTAGTGACTGTTGTATTCTGCTACCTTTCCTATCAAAACTTTTCAATCTTAAGAAAACCTTTCCGTATCACACTGCAGCCTAAAGGAGCTAGTCCAATATTTAGTATTTTTAAGATTTGAAAGTTTCCTACCTCTGAGGAGGAATAAAAGGTAGACAGAAGAGTAAAATGAGTCCTATTTCGGCATAAAGAAAGGTTGCAACTGCCACCCATTGGATTGTCATTTTTTTCTTCACACCTGAACGGAGAAACATTTATTTTACTTTACTTCATTTGAAAGAAAACTGGGCTGAAGGCCCCGGGGCACACTGCTTCGTCCGAGGGCTGAACTGAGGCCCCGCACACACCCCAGAATGGACCGGACAGGAAGAGACGGGACTAGACCGGACGAGACCCGGCCTGGGCGTCTCCACCTCCTTGGCGAGCCGCGCGGAACCCTAGAGGCGGCCAAAGGGCGCAAAGACTTCCTCTCCGCCCGGCCGCTGCACCTACAGTCCAACGCCACCCTCCTCTAACGCTTTGCGGCCCTCCCGCCCCCCGAAAGCCACGGGCCAGCCGGGTCCGCTGGGTTTTTCAGCCCACAGCCTCGCGGCCCGCGGGTCTTGCCCGGCCTTACCGCGCTGCGGCCTGCCTGACTCTCCGCGCAGCTCCGCCAGCCGGACGCGCGGGACGTCAGACGCCGCGACGGGGAGGGGGAGGGGGAGAGAAGTGGGGGGCAGGGAAGGGGGAGTGGAGAGCGGCGGGCGAACCGGCTTCCCCCCGCCTTAGGCTGCCGTCCTGCTAAGGTCACCGGCGGCGAGGCCACGTTTATTGGTAATAATTGTTTCCTAATTGTAGTCTAAGACGACTCAGGCTCGGGGCTCGCAAGTGCAACTTCTTCCGGAGGGCGGGCTCGCGTTTCTCCAGCGCGCCACCGCTTTTGGAGGAGCGGCGAAGGCCCAGATCTGGAAACCACTAAAGTGGGCTGCGCAAACCCAGTGTCTGCGGCGGAGGTTAAAACTTTCAAGTGTCCAGAATTAAACTGTACAAGAGCCAAGACTGGGTGGTCGTGCAGCATTGTTTTTGAAACCACAGGAGAATCTGTAGCATTACAACATATTCTGTCCGTTTTCCCGGTTCTTTTCCATGGTCTAGGAAAAGGCAATACCCTTTGAGGTGTTCTTTGGGGACCCAGAAAAGGTGGCCTTAATCACTATACATTTCCCAGGTTTTCAAGTTGCCTGAAAAACATTCGAGTTATATATGAGAATAATTCTATTTAAGAGTTTCTTGTTCATTTTATATGATGTTAGCTTTTATTCTACCAGAACTCTGCACTTACTTTTATTGAAAATGTACTTCTTGTTAAGGTACAGATATTATATAAGTCATACCTTGTTAGTATTAAAATAAAAAGTTTTTATTTAAAAATGTTAAAAACATTTCCTTTAGAGAAACCCTCCTCCCCCAACCATAACAAGATTCTGAACAGTTTGTCCGTGTTTGGACCTAGAGCCACTGATTTAAAGTAAAAACAAAGATGCAACCTTATATTTTATAAAGTATAAAACAGAGTATATATTAATATAATTTAGGAAGTCCAGTCAAATGCCATAATGCTCTGTAAGGTAATCTAAGACTGCTGATGCGCTCGACAGTGCATTAAATACTCTTCTTTCCTGCTTTGAAGTTATCTTTTCCATCATGTACATTAAATGTTGATGGAAACACATGTAAGGAGTTCCAAGTTCAAGAGCGATGTCAACCCAGTCCCAGATGCATTTCAATGGGGTTTCCTCATATCCAGCAAACATGGCTGGGTTTGCTAAGAGTCCTCTTGCAACCATCACACCTAAAATTAAAGCAGACCATGTTTGTCCATACCTTAAGTGCCCATGATTATTAGTTCAAACGCAATGAAACAAATGTAGAATATTAAAAAACAAGTTATGACTAAACATTTTCACAATGCTCTATTTACATTAGTCTGTTTAATTAAATAATTTAAAATATTTTATTTTAGTACCTTTTGAAAATGAATGAAATTAAATGTATTTAAGTTCTTCATTTTTTAAGGCTTCTACATTACAAAATTAGTTTTTAGTTTTTCTTTAGGGTAAACCCACAGTGTCATAAATCAGAAGGTTTTCAGTCAAAGTTTATCTGCATTCTCCCCTATGGTAAATTATTACAGTGCTTGGCTTGGTATACCAATAATTTAAAGGATAACGAAACCACCGTTCCTTTGGCTTCTCTGATTACTCCTGAGTTTATTAACTTCAGATGCTTTTTTTTTTTTTTTTTACTAGTAGGTTATTGGAAAATTCCTAATTAGTCACTAGATATGATGGTAGAAGACAAGTAACTTAATTTATCCCCATTAAAATAATATAGTTTCTAAGTAGGAGAATGAATAGCATTTTAATAGACTGCTTAGCTTAAATCTGTATGATGGGAAAATGTAGCCCAATATTAAAAGAAAATAATGAAAATCAAATTAACATTACTACCTTATCCTTTTTTTTCCTAATTAAAAGATAAACAAAGCACTTTTTTCTTACCATCTGTCCCAGTAATCTGCCACACATTTTCAGCCTCTTTTAAACTCCGGATATCTCCGTTAGCAATTACAGGTATAGACATATTTTCCTTTATTATTTTAATGGCATCATAGTGGACTGGCTGGTGTCTTTCTTCAACAGTTCTTCCATGGACTGTAATCCAGGAAACTCCAGTTGCTTCAGCCTTTCGACAAAGATCTACGGTTCTGGTAAGGTCATCATGGATCCTATAATTTCAAAATTACACCTATCTGTTCATATTAAACAAATCTTAATACTAAAATTCACTAAAAAAATGGTATTTTATATACTACATTGTTTAGTTATGTTATAATGTCATGCCACTATCAGGAAGGATCTTTTCAGGGATTATTCCCAGCCAAGACCTCAAATTTATTTACTTTGAAATTGGCAACAACAGGACAACAAATGAGTTTTATCTTACCTATTGCTTCTCCCTTTTGGCTTTGATAATGAAAGAGTCATCAAAATACTAAGATAGATGAAGTGAAAGATGCTACGTCAACCCACTAAGTCCAAAGTTTTCAATTTTATATATATAGGACTGTGGAACATAATGGGTCAAGATTTGATATGAATGCCCTAATCCCCAAGTGGAAGAACATACTACTTTATCTGTTAAATGTTTTTAACTTTTCACCAAAAACACATTACTATAGTTTATTTTTATTGTAATATTTTAGTGCAAATATCTTTTCATTTTTATTCTTCGTGCTAGGAATATGTCTTTAGTGTTAATTAAAGAGAACTTGGAAAAAGTTGAGGGAATGGTGAAGTCTTTTAATAAAGGGAGGTTTAATTTTTGTTAAAAAGGTGTTCAGGATTATAAACAGAAGGGTATATATTTGTTTACTAAATGTATTGTTTCAAAAATTCCATAAACCAACTACCAATTTATTTAGGACAGATATTCCCAAATCACCAAACAAAAGAAATATTCTTTTAATTCTTAATCATTAGATTATTTTGTCAACAGACTAAAATATTGACTTTACCTTATTTTAATAGAAACTGAAAATTTGGGGTTTTCCACTTGATTTCTTACTTGTTTCACCATATCTCGAACAAGCTCTGGCTTATTTATTAAGCAAGCTCCATAACCTTCTGCCATTGCCCACCTTCGTAAAACAAACACAATAACAAATGAATTACAAACAGGTAGAAGAGAAGATAAAAATTAAAAAAGCACTGAAATGTAAATGTATTTGTATATTTCTTTATTTAGTGATCTGGAATGAATCAGATTTTAAAAACTCATAGATCAATAAGATTAGGAAAACAACTTATGGGGAAAAAAAAAGATAATGATAAGGAAAACATGTTCCCAGATCAAAACCAAACCAAACAACTCCAGGGAAATAGTTTCCGTTGGCAAATCAGAATACTAAATTAGAATTAGTTCAACCAAAACAGATTAAAATATTTGTAATTAACAGCAATTACTTCAGATATTTTAAATTCCAAATTTGATGCTTATTGTACATAACAAGAGGTTTTATTAAGTTTCAAAATTTTTGGCTTACAGCACTAAATAGCTTCTTTAACTCTTCTAATGAGTATACAATACGTCTAATCTGGTTTGGATTATGATGCACTTTAAAACTTGATTTAATTCTTTGGATGCATTTTGAATTGACAGATAACCTAGTACAGTAGGGATAATGTTGGCAAGTTAAGTACAGCTTACTCAAATCCAGTTACTTAAACCCAACCAAATAACTCTGGCATGAGAAAGGAAAAAAAAAAAAAGAAAAAAAGAGAATGATTATAATAAGGTATTTTTTTTAAAGGAAATTAAGAAGAAAATAGGCAGTTTCTATCAAATCATAGAAACACTTTTTAGAGCAAGAATATATATCACATGATAGTAAAATACATTTTAGGGATTATTGTAGTCGCTACATTTCTCATATAATTTTGGATAAGGTTCAAGCAGATCTACACAAAAATGTTATTGATAAGGGGACTTTTTTCAAAAGTCTACACATCATTTCAGTCATCAGATAGATCTTTGAATTTATGTTTCTAAATATTTTTTCCTTCCTTTTGTAGAATCCTGGTAGTTTAATTCTATGTTCTTACTTTTTAATTTTTGGAAAACTAGAAAGAAATTTTACCATGTTCATAAAGTTTTTTCTAATCTTTTTGAAAACTCTTCCAACTTCTTTGAGCTTTACCTCTGAGGGCAACCACAGTTAATGTCTATTCCATTCGCATAAGGACAGACTATACGAGCAGCATCAGATAAAAGTCTTGCATCGTTGGCAGCAAACTGAACAATCAATGGGCAATCACCTAATAAAATGAATAGCTCAACATTAAAATCCATAGGAAAAAACCACACCCCCCCCACACACAGAGGAAACTCTAATGTTTGCACAGGATAAAATAGCAATAAATATTTTTAGCACAAGGAACATCTATTCAAATAAGGTAATATTCAAAAAGATTTATTTAAAATTGAAATAAATTTACACAAATATTCAAACAGCACAAAATTAGATAAAAATTAAAAGTATTCCAGTACTTTTTGATGAAAAGACCCACTTCCTAATTATGGGAGTTAGTTTATTATATCTCAGCAATTTTATATGTAAACCTTTTATATGTAAACAAATTAATGTGAACAATTCCACATACATTGCTATGTCTACCACTCTACTTTTCTTGAGCTGGGATATGTACTCAGATGTAATTTCTCTAATAGTCCACTGTACAGATGAACCATACACAATTTAGATTGCTTCTTATTTGTGGCTTTTGCAAATACAGCTACAATAGGGATAGTTTTGCATTTATGTTTTTTGTGAAAATATTCATAGAATGGATAAATTACTAGATGTATAACTGCTGAATAGGCATTTAACATTGACAGATATTACAAAATTATCTTGCAAGAGTTTATCAGTACTGATACATAGCAATATAGTTCTTTCTTTACAACTTATCCTACAGTGCATATCTTAACATTTGTATATCTTTGTGAGCTCTTTTCATGTTTGTAAATTTTTCTATGTAATTCTATTAGTTATTCCTCTTTTACTATCATTTGTAATTTAAAAAATAAATTAGTTTTACTATTAATCAGAGTGTTTTTATTTTTCTAGTTCTTTATCTCTATTTGTATATTTATATATAAAAGTTTAAATTTTAATGTAGCTAAAGATATCATAGCTTTCCTAGGTTTTAAAGAACATGATAAATTCTGAATAGATCTAAATTTTTCTGAGGACTACCAATATAAGATTCACTGGGTGTTTATAAAAATTTCTGGACATCGCCATAGTTGTACTGATTCAAGATCTCTAGGGCAATCCATTGACTTGTGATTATGATGGGGTAGAATTTGCTTTTTTATTCATGTGGACATAGGGCGCTATTCCCTTTTCTACTTTGTTATAGAATTTCAACTTATCAACCATTTATTGGGCAAACAGATTTCACATTGTGTTAGTTCTTGAGGACAAACATCAAGCTATGTTTATAGCTTGAGCCCTCAAAGAACCCATCATCTAGTGGGAAAGAGTAGCACAATTAATGAAGATATTATAAAAAGTAGGATTAAGTGCAATAAAAGGAGATAGGGCACAAGTGGAGAATGATTAGGAAAGGTTCCCTGGCTACAAACTTTGAATACTGAATTAAGAATCATGAACTGTAATTTGCCTTAGGCTTCCAAGTCACTAACATTACACGTGCAATATTCTAGGTAGGGAAGTGTGAGAGAACAAGGTATATTCAGACACATAAAATAATGTGTTTTTTTAAAAAAATATTTTTACTTGTAGATGGACACAATAACTTATATTTTTTTATTTATTTTTTTATGTGGTGCTGATGATTGAACCCAGTGCCTCATACATATTACACAAGTGCTCTACCAGTGAGTTACAACCCCAACCCTAATGTAGTATTTTTGAAGAATAAAGTTGTGGGCTATGGGAAGAAACTAATGGAAGTTAAGGCTGCAGAAGATTTATTCACAGGCTAGTAGGTCATGAAGGACTTGGCATCTTATCCTCAGGTGCAGAAATTTTAGTCTTTAAGTCAAGGATTCTCAAACTTTGGCAAGTTCAGAATTATTTGAACGCTTTTCAAAATACATTGCAGGACCCATAGTTTTTAATTCAGTAGGATTGGGGTGAAGCCTAAAAACTTTCATTACCTTTTTTTTTTTTTTTTTGAGACAAGATCTTACTGTTGTTCATGCTGTCAAATTGACACTTTAGATAGGTCACTTTGAGCAGTATGGAGATAGTTTGGAATGGTACAACACTATAGACTGTAAGACAGAGATCTATTCTGATAATCCAGGGGAGAGGCTGGATACCTGAAGAAAGGCTGACCATATATTTTGGTAGATCACCAATAACCTATAAAGCTCTCTGTATTATATGTAAAATACTAAAGGCATTTAAAAATGAAAGGATTTTGGGGCTGGGATTGTGGCTTAGTGGTACAGCACGTGCCTAGCATGTGCTAGGTCCTAGGTTCGATCCTCAGCACCACATAAAAATAAGTAAAATAAAGGTATTGTGTCCAAATACAACTTAAAAAAAAAAAGAAAGGATTTTATCATATAAACTAAGATAGGTTGTGTCTGATTAGATAAATAGCTGAGTTACAAACAAAAATTTTTTTGGTAAGTTTTACAAAGTAAACAAACTGGGTTTCACATACCTTGGTTTGTGGTAAATTCACTGTCTCTGGCTTTTATAGATCTGACAAAATCAGCAGCAACTATCATTGGTGTATAACACAGATCACAACAGTATTTTCTTACTAGTGTTCTAAAAGCCAACCTGTGAGCATATAAAACTTAAATTATGCATTTAGAAAACACCAATAATCATATCTATTTATAAATTTAATTTACTTGATTATTAAGTATTTTTAGGGAGAGTTCTGTCCATGAGAAGGCAGAGTAGCTGTATTTTTTCCTATTCTTCCTACTAAATATAACTAAAAACCCTTTATATTATATGTAAAATAAACACAGGAAATTCTGAAAAGTTAAGAGGCTGCCAGATTAAAATAAGAGGTGGTAAGCTCCTTCAATTTTATAAACTCAAATACCCCAGCCTTGGGACTGAAGAAGATGATCTGGAATCACCAGTGGGTGCTGAATAGCCTACGGAAGTCCGTCTAGTTAAAAGACCAGGAAAGGGGAAGCCAAGCATGACACAAAACTTTTTTATGGTAATGGTTCAAATTCAGTCAAACATTACAGAAAAAAGCTATGGCCTCAACTCCACTAGAAAAGGTCAAGCCGGGACTTCTACCCCTCTCCAATGTTGTAACAAGGTGCTCCAACATCCCACAGTAGTGGTGTTCAAGAGGACCTGGTAGGGATCTGAGACTTTCATCCCTATTGACCTGTGAGGGCCCCAATTTTAATGGTAGTAGTGTAGACCACATGAGGAGCACAGACTTCCATGTTTACTCAGCAGTAATAAGGCACTCTCTTCCTTGGGTGTGTTGTCCGAGACCATGTGGAAAGCCAGGACTTTTATGAGGCCAGTAGTTATGAGGCCACCCCCACCAAAAGGAATTGGGACTCTCATGCCTTCCTACAGCAACAAGGAGGCCAAGAACCTAGACTTACTACTGACAGCAAGAAGATGGTGCCCTTCTCCCCACCTTTGCCTGCTAGAGAAGGTTAAATATTCAAAATCCATCAGTATGAACTATCATATTAATATGCTAAAGAAAAAACACATAATTATGAGTTTAGCAGAAAAAGCATTTGATAAGATACACTCATTCGTGATAAAAAATTCTCAGAAAAACAGAAATAGAGGGAAACTCTTTAACTTGAAAAAGAATATTCACAAAAAATTCAACAGAACACTTTCTTCCTAAATAGGAAAAAGGAATGGATGTCTGCTCTCATCACTCACATTCAACATATAGATGGAACTTCTAGATCAGCGCAATAAGTAAGGCATGGGAAAGAAATGAAAGGCACTGACCAAAATGAAGAAATAAAACTAAATCTGTTTGTAGATGACACGGTTGTTTATATAATCCCAAGGAATTTACAAATAGCAAACAAAACAAACTCTCAGAATTAGGAAGAGGGCTCAAGAACTTTGTAGGATATAAGATCAACATACAAAAATTAATTGTATTTCTATATACTACTAGTAATGACCACATGGACACCAAAATTAAAAATACAATAATACCATAAACAACAACAACAACAAAAAAACTGGTACTAAGTTTTCCAAAAGATGTACAGAACTTGTATGGTGAAAACCACACAATGCTGATGAAAGAAATCAGAGAAAATCTGTATCAATTAAGAGAAACATCGTATTTATGGATTGTGAGATTCAACATAGATAGGATGTCAATTCTCCCCAAATTGATATGTAGGTTTCATTCAATTCTTATGGAAATTCCACAAGATTTTTTTTTTTTTTTTGTAAATACACGAAGATCATTCTAAAATTAAGTGGAAAAGAAAGCAACTAGAATCAGGAGGTTATCAGTCCCTTGATTCCAAAACTTATTATATAGCTACAATAAATAATCCACATACTGTGGAAATGGTGAAGGGATAGACACATAAATCAATGAAACAAAATACAAAACACTGATTTTTTTTTTTTTTTTAAGTGAAGTAGCAGAAGTAATTCAATCGAGTAAAAATAGATTTCTCAACAAATAGGGCTAGAGTAACTGGACATTTCTAGGAAAAAAAAGTATCTAACTCTCAAACTTACATTAAAATAAATATAATTGAATCATGATCTTAAATGTAAAGCATAAAATTATAAAAACTTTCAGGAAAAAACTTTGGAGAAAATCTTCAGAATCTGGAGCTACACAAAGATACCTTACACTTGACACCAAAAGCAAAATTTATACAAGAAAAAACTGATAAAATGGATTTCATCATAATAAAAAACTTTTGCTTTGCAAAACACCCTGTAAAGAGAATAAACTATATAATCTGAGAAAATATTTGCAAGCCACATAGTTGACAAAGAAGTCATATCAAGACATCTCAACACTTAATAGTAAACAAAAATATAAATCCAGGGCTGGGATAGTAGCTCAGCAGTGGAGTGCTCGCCTAGCATGGGCGGGGCCTGGGTTCCATCCTCAGCACCACATAAAAATAAAGGCATTGTGTTGTGTCCATCTACACCTAAAAAATAAATATTAAAAAAAAATCCTATTCAAAAATGGGCAAAATGTTGAATAGATATTTCTACAATGAAGATATACAATTGGCCAATAAGAAAAGATGCTCATGTCACTAACCATTATGGAAATGAAAATCAAAATTACAATGAGATCCACTTTACACCCAGTAGGATGGGATAGGATAAGTTTTGAAAATTCTAGAAAATGATGAGTTGGCAAGGGTGTGAAGAAATTAAGGACTCTTGTGTAATGCTGGTGAAAAGGTAACATGGTATGGCTTCTATGGAAAATAGTATGAAGGTTCCTCAAAAAGCATAACACAATTACCATGTGATCCACCAATTCCACTTCTGAATATATAGTCAAAAAGAATTTAGATATTTGTGCATCCATGTTCATAACAGCATTACTTGCAATAGCTAAAATATGGAAGCAATATTTTATCGATCAATGAATGGACAAAGAAAATGTAGCATTCATGTACAATGGACAGAAGGAACTGGGCATGGTGACTCATGCCTGTAATCCCAGCAGCTCTAGAGGCTGAGGCAGGAGGATCTTAAATTCAAACCCAGCCTCAGCAAAATCGAGGTGCTAAACAACTCAGTGAGACCCTGTTTCTAAATAAAATACAAAATAGGGCTGGGGATATGGCTCAGTGGTCGAGTGTCCCAGAATTCAATCCCTGGTATCCTGCCCCCCAACTCCCCGCCTTGAAAAAAAAAAAAGAAAGGAAAAATCTGGTATATGTTACAATATGAATGGACATTGAAAATATGCTAAGTAAAAAAACTAGTCTCAACCACTATATGATTCCACCTACAGTACTTCAGATAAGTAGAATCATAAGAAAAAGTAGAGAAACAGTAGAATAATGGTGGCCAGGGTTTAGGTGGGGAGAGGAATGGAGTTATTGCTTAAGGGTTTTTTAAGAATGGAGAGTTTCAGAGATCAGATGCATGATATGAAACATAATTAACAGTGCTGAACTTTACACATAAAAATTATAAAAAGATAAATATTATATGTATTTTATAATAATTTAAAAAACTACAAGAGTAAAAGAGCAATATTAGGATATGGGCAAAAAGCATTAAGAAACATTTCTTCAAAACTATACAGTTGCCAAATAAGCACATGAAAAGAAGTTTAACATCACATACAGGACATGAAGAAATTAGAAACACAATGAGATATCACTATATACCATTAAGAACAAAAAAACCAAAACACTGCCATTATCAAAAGTAGGTTAGAATGAGGAGAAACTGGATTTCTCATATGGTGCTAGGTAGAAGGGTCAAATAGTATTGCTACTCTAGAAAAGTTTGGCAGTTTTTTCAAAAACTAAACATCTTATGATCCAGCAATTACATTCTTATACATTTGTCTGAAGACACATATTCAAACAAAAACCTGTGCATAAATGTTTATATCCATTTAATATCTACTATACCTTATAGATGGGAGTTATAAATGCCACCATTTATAAAAACATAAAATGTGACACTTGCAGAGATGATTTACTCAGGCACGTGCACACACACATATTCTAGGCACCAGGAGTCATTTCTAGATCATGATTCCAAAACTAGGAATTGAAGAGTCCATGTAGTGGTCTTACAGTACTTAAAAAAGGCAGAACGTAAAAGGGAAATTATGCCTCAGTTCATTAACATTTAACAACACTTACTTTGAATATCGAACCATTGGGGCACAGATTTTCACCAGCTGCCCAGAATGAAACATTTCTATTGGATCTTTTTTTCCTTCTTGACATTTTGTAGTTTGTATGGAGTCACACTTCATGAATATAGATTTACTTCAAATCTGAAAAAGACAATCCATTTGCACTTGGAATATCCTTTCTCTAGGTGAATTCTCATCATTCTAAATTTCAATTGCCAATGATATTTATTTTTCATCAGGTTTGTGGGATCAGAATTTGTTTTAGCTTCTTTTCATATTATTAAATAGACTCTCTCTCTCTCTCTCTCTCTCTCTCACACACACACACACACACACACACAATGGGATATTACTCATCCATAAAGAAGAATTAAATTATGGCATTTGTTGGTAAATGGATGGAACTGAAGATGACCATGCTAAATGAAATAAGCCAATCTCCCAAAATCAAAGGTTGAACCTTCTCTCTGATATGCAGAGGCTAACACACAATAAGGTAGTGGTGGTAAGGAAACAAGTTCATTGGATAAGACAGAGGGAAATGAAGGAAAGGGAGGGGGAATGGGAATCGGAAAGAAAGTAGAATGATTCCTAACAACTTTCCCAAATTCACATATGAATAAACAAACAGTATAACTCCACATCATGTTCAACCGCAAGGATGAGATCCTTAGAAGTAGAAAGTTATATTCCATTATGTATAATATGTCAAAATACATCCTACTGTCATGTATATCTAAAAAGAATAAAAAATAAGATAAATAATACAAAAAGGAATACCACAGAATTCTACTTCTAAGATAAATCAAAGTTGAAAACTACATGAGATAGCTGTAGAAAAACAAGATAGAAAAACTACAAGATTTTTTCTAGTATATCGTATTACTTTTATTATTTTTTTTCCGTTTTATTTTCTTTGGCATTGATAAATCAAGGTATTTGATTTGAATAATTTCCTACAAAATACTGTGTATGTCTGGTACTCTGAAATATCCTGTTTTATTCAGGAAAATTAATGCCATTATAAGAACAACTCTAAATAGCACGTCAAAACATAACCTGGAATTTTTATTCTTTATGTGAATCATAAGGCAAAAAAAAAAAAAAAAAAGTGCGGTTTGGGACATGCCAAAACACTAGTTTGGTTTTTTATGGATAATGAAACATAATGTGAAACTGAGCACACTGTCCCAGGCAATTCATGTGACCTTCACTCAGAACACTGACCCCATTCGTATAATTGAGATAAAATTATATTAAGGAAAACCCTCTGAGATAAAGTCAAGTCAAAGGATAATGCGCAGTAGCGTGAGACTAGCTCACCTGAGTGGTTACGAGTATTAAATGAGTTTAGATTCACAAAATAATTTAGAACACCCTTTAGCAACTTTCGTTCCCAAGCTTTTCCCGCCTGTTTTTATCCCTGGATTGCCAATCAAGGCGTGGGGCAGTTACTAACACCCGCCTGCCTAGAGAGTGCAGTGCCAGCGAAGCTCCCAGAAATGTCCACTATTGTCTCTTGCCCTGCGTCGCAAGGCCCGGGTTCTTAGGTTTAATACTTGCTTTATCTTTTCTTTCTAAAATATGCGCCACGGTCACGTTCCGGCGCCCACCTTCTCCTCAGTCTGAGGAACAACTCCAGCCACTGGGGCGCGGCTCCGAACTGCAAAGCGAGACAGCGAATAAGCCCGGAGCGGACCTGGCTTCCTAGACTGCGTGGCCGAGCACCGGGTCCTCAGCGCACGAGGGCTCTGGTTCCCACACCACTCCCAGCCAGGGTCTGTCAGCCGCGTGAGCAGCGTTGGGATTACTAGGCGGGCCACGGCCGCGGTCTGTGAAGGCGGGCGGCGCCAGGATTCTGCGTCAACCTGGGCGGGGCCTCCTCTCACTGACGCCATCAACCCGGTACCTGCCAACATGGAAGGTGGCGACAGCGGCGCCACTATGGCTGGCTTTGGGGCTCTGGATTCTGGAGCGGCTGCAGCGACAGTGCGGGAGCTTTTGCAGGACGGTAAGGAGTCGAGTACTGGCCAGGCTGCGGGGAGGGAGGGAATATCCTGCTCGGTGCCTGGGCCAAGGTGGTGGACTCAACCCTCGCTTTGCCCAAAGTTTTCTGGTCTCGACTTGACCACTCCCCTCCGCCCGGCCCCCTGACGTCCGGGTGCTGCCCAAGCCAACTTATTCCTCCTCTTCCTTTCCTGTGTCCTAGGAACTCCTGGTTTTGAGTTGCTCGTCTTCTCAACTCCGTCCCCCTTGTGTTTGGGCTTCCCTGAAATTCTAGGACCTCACACCCAGTGACCCGCCTTGGCAGCCGCGGTACCGCCTGCTGCCGCACTTTTAACGAAAAGATGAAGCATTCTAGCCCATGAAAAGTGTAAGACCTAGAACAGATAACAGACACTTATTGAAAGGAGTTCTTTTTAAAGTAAAGTTGGAAACACCTCCTCCGTTAAATTATTGGGTTATACAGGTGTCCCTTCTTGCAGTCTTGTGTTTCTTGGAGGAGGCAGTTATTCACAATTAGACAAGCAGGAGGGTTTATACTCTTAGTTCAGGCAGGGGTTATCTAGTCATACAGAAAACAGCAGTCAGATTTATTGGTAGTCAGTTTTGAAGAGAAGTTATCCCCAGTAAGTTTAATATAGTGTAGTTGAAAAGCACATTCAGTTGTAGTCCAGTTAACGTGGTGAGTCTCATCATTCAGAATAAAGTTCAGATTTCTGAGGGTAAACATAAGTTTCTTAATGTTTTCCCTAATGGATATAACGTTCTACCTTGTATTAAAATCATTTGTATACTTACCTTAATCTCTTCTGCTCTATTGTAAACCCCTATGCCCTCTTTTTTTTTCTTTCTTTCTTTCTTGGTATTGGGGATTGAACCCAGGGGCCCTTTACCACTGAGCACATATACTCAGCCCCCATCCCTTTGTTACTTTTTGAGATGTTGTTTCGCTGAGACTCGAGATCTCTCAAGTTGCCGGTGTGCACCACCATGCCCTCCGTAAAATCCTTTTTTAACTCCACAATGTTAATAGCTCAATCTTACATACAGTAGGCCCAGAAAGATTTTTAAAAATTGAACATTACTGTAAGTGTATTATAAAAGGTTAAAAGTTTTAAATTTATTTTTCTGTTGACTATTTTTATTGATTTTTCATGACAATCTATATATTTTTTTTTGTCAAAATTAAGGGTATTTTCAGGACTTGAATCCTTTAGGTTAGGTTCCCTGTGTAATACATCTTTGTATTTTAATTGATATTCAATTTAACCAAGTTTTGAACTCTTGTGAGACTGTCTCTATTTTTTTATTCTCAAGTAGCTCACCATCTAGTAGGGGAGAATGGGCCGGGGTTGTGGCTCAGTGGTCGAGCGCTTGCCTAGCACGCATGAGGCACTGGATTCAATCCCGGGCACCACATAAAAAAATGAACAAATAAAATAAAGGTATTGTATCCATCTACAACTAAAAAACATTTTAAAAAGTTCATAAACTTGTTGAGCTCTAAAAGTAAGTATTATAATAGTGTTGTAATAGTAGCATTAGAACTGTGTACAAAGTAAACCATTAGTTCAGAGGATGATAACTAGAGGTTAGGGATTGGTCAGGCAGTGTCAAGAAAAACCTTTCTAGGATTAGTTTTTTTTTTCCCCAGTGATTACATATGTTTTATTTTTTAAATCAGACATTGTAATTATACATAGCAGTGAGTTCATTTTGGAAAAAAATCATACAAGCAAGGAATTTGATTTTAATCCCCATTCTTTCCTCCCTTTGGTCACCCGCTTTCTTCCCTATTCTCACTCTTCTACTCAAATGATCTTCCTTTCATTACTTTATTTATTTTTGATTGGTACTTTCTACATATACATAAAGGTGAAATTCCCTTTGGTACATTTAGATATGCATATAACATTCCTTCTTTCCTATTCCCATAATTTCTCCCTTCTTCTTGTTCTCCTCTTTCTCTTCTAGTGATTTTCCCTACATATTTATGATATGTGAACACCCCCGCCCCCCAACAGCTGTCTTTCCTTTACTTTGTTCTAGTTTCCCCATATCAGAGAAAACATTCCACCTTTGATTTTTTGAGTCTGGCTTATTTCATTTAGCATGATGTTCTCCGTTTCCATCCATTTACTGACAAATGCTATGATTTCATTCTTTTTTATGGATGAGTAAAACTTGATTGTGTATATATTCCACATTTTCTTCAGCAGGCATTTGGGCTGATTCTATAATTTGGCTATTGTGAATGGTGCTGCTATAAATACTGTAGTGACTAAATCACTGTAGAATGTTGAATTTAGTTCTTTTGGATAAATATTAAGGAGTGGGTTAGCTGGGTAATATGGTAGTTCCATTCCTGATTTTTTTGAGGAATGTCCATACTACTTTTCAAGTGGTTGTACTAATTTGTAGTCCCACCAGCAATGTATGAGTGTATCTTTCCCCCTACATTTTTGTCAGCTTTTACTATGATTTGTGTTCTTGATCTTTTGTGTTCATGATCCATTCAGATCATTCTTGATCTGAATGGAGTGAGATAAAATCTTTTTGTAGTTTTGGTTTGCATTTCTTTGATTACTACAGATGTTGAACATTTTTTTTTTTCATATATTGTTGGCCATTTGTGTTTCTTTTGAGAAATTTCTGGCTGGGCATGGTGATGCGTGCCTGTAATCCCATCAACTCAGGAGGCTAGGCAGGAGAATTGCAAGTTTGAGGCCAGTCTCAGCAACTAAGGCCCTGAGCAATTTAGTGAGATGCTGTTTCAAAATAAAAAAGTAAAAAATAAAAATAATGGCCTGGGGATATGGCTTAGTGGTAAAGTGCATCTGGGTTCAAGTCCCGGTACCAAAAAATTAAAAATAAATAAAAAATAAAAACCAACAAACCCAACCAAGCAAACAAAAAGCAAGAGAAAGAGAGTGAGGGAGAGAGAGAATTTCTGTTTAGTTCTTTTGCCCATTTATTGATTGGGTTATTTGGTTTTCTGGAATTGAGTTTTTTTTTTTTTTTTTTTAGTTCTTTATCTCTTCTGGATATAATCCCCTGTTAGAGGAGTAGCTGGCAAAGATTTTTTCCCATTCCATAGGCTCTTTTTCTTAATCATTTCCTTTACTGTGCATAAGCTTTATAATTTGATGGCATTCTATTTATTGATTCTTGTTTTTATTTCTTGAGCTTTAGGCATCTGGTTAAGGAAGTCATTGCTTGCCACTTTATGATGGATTGTTGACCCTGTTTTGTTTTTTTTTGAAAAGAGAGAGAGAGAGAATTTTTTAATATTTATTTTTTCTTTAGTTTTTGGTGGACATAACATCTTTGTTTTATTTTTATATGGTGCTGAGGATCCAACCCAGTGACCCGCGCATGCCAGGCAAGTGCGCTACCCCTTGAGCCACATCCCTAGCCTAACCTTGTGTTTTCATCTAGCAGTTGCATTGTTTCTGGTCTAACTCCTAAGTCTTTGATCTTTCATGTTTCTTTCAAGTCTTTCATGTTTCTCTTCCTTTTTTCCTGAGCATTCTTTAGTCTCTGATTTATATTATTTCCTTTATCCATCTCCGAATTTTTGGTGCCCCCCCCACCGCTTCTAAAGCCTATTTTTCCTATTTCCCTGTTTATTTTTTAATTTTGTGCATTCAAAATTTTTTTCATAAATCATCTACTCTTTTTGTTAGCCATCTTCTGAATTATAGAACTACATTTTCAAATGTGTACTGGAATTTTGTCTTGATAGTGAACAAGCAGTACCAGTTCTACATATGAAAACCTACACATAAACAAATAGTACAAATTCTACATACAAAAAAATGAAATAGTTTTTTTTCTTCTACTTCTGTCTCCTAATTTTTTCCTCTGGTAGATTCTGTTTCCATTTATTATATGTAGGTAGGTAAAGCCTGTGTGTTCCTTATGTAGATTATGAATTCCTTGGCGGCTGGTGTTTGTTTATGTTCATCTTTGCATATTTAATACCTAGTGGTCTAGCTTAATGCAAAACTGAATTCCCTATTTCAGTTACTTAGTCAAGAAACTTGAAAATCATCCTTGATTTGCTGCATCTAATAGCCCATTTTCAACTTTTCACTAGGTCCTAAACAGTGTGTTTATCTGATTATTTGTTACTCTTATCAATTCCTTGACATTCTTAGTGACATTATCATTCATGCCTTCCTTATGTCAGTTGGGCTATTACCATAGTACTGTACTTTACTGTACTTTGTGGCTCTTCTTTATGGGTGACATACCGGTTATCTATTGCAGTAGTAAATCAGCTTTCTGGGAAAATAGAAAAGGTCCTTATTTTATAGTATCTGCCTATTTCTATAGTGTAAATACCCTCCCCCTGGTCAATTTAATTTAATTAATTAATTTATTTTTTAAAGAGAGAGTGAGAGAGGAGAGAGAGAGAGAGAGAGAATTTTTAATATTTATTTTTTAGTTCTCGGCGGACACAACATCTTTGTTGGTATGTGGTGCTGAGGATCAAACCCAGTTCGCACGCATGCCAGGCGAGCGCGCTACTGCTTGAGCCACATCCCCAGCCCCCCCCCCTCAATTTTAAGATATGCACATGTGATGTCAACTGGCTTACAGAATTCCTGAAAATGTAATAGCTTGCTGCCAAAAGGCAACAAGAGCCAAATATAGCAAACTGTGTGTAACTAATCCCTTTTTAGTCATCCTCCATACCACTGCCAAGATTATTGTTCTAGAACACAAAGCTGACAGTGCTCCTTCTTGTCTTCAAAACCTTAAA